TTTTTCAACAAGAATAGCAAGTTTTCATTATAAAATCCCCAGTGGATTAGAGATTTTCTGAAATTATCCCAGTGATAATAAAGAAAGTTTCTGAATTTCACTCTAAGTGAAAATTCATGCCAAGTTAATATTACACCTCTGGCGCTTCCAACTTTCTTTCAGTGTTTCAAGTAACACAGGAAGAAACAGTGGCAAAGTCTACGTATTCAACATCGTAGCACCAAAAATCCATATCTTACACGCATGGGGGATTTTATCTCGATCCCTAATTAGAGATAAGCCTACGCCTAACACGCGTTGCCGGTTAGTCTTTTTCCGTAAAAATGATAAAGTCTATGTATTCAAAATTATAGCATCAAGTCTAAGAGGGTTCATTTCATTAGCATAACGTTACATGTGAAACAGACTTAGACAATCCACATGCTAGCCCGACTCAAACGGTAGTCGGTAAAGGCTTATCAAATCCGTTGATGGCTGAGGGTTTGCCAAAAATCCTATGCACGTTTGCAGGTCCATCAACTTAATGGATGTGAGCCGAGACTTAAAACAGATGAGCCAAAGACAAGTCTCAAAGACTTAGTCAAAAATGCACGGAAGCCACTTCCATGTCTCAAGAGGTCATACCCGTGTTCCAAATTCAACATGTAAGGGTGAGACCCGCATCTCAAGTTCAAAATGCAGGGTCCACCCCCACATTCCAGAAGCAGGATTATGGCGCATACCTTCACACAGGTCCTACGTGGCAAATCCCTTCAACCATGATGCCTTCGAAGCAAGTGCAGAGAACAAATCCTTTACCACAAGGAATCAACAGCTCCAAGATCAGAGTTGAGATCCAAAGTATTCCGAAAATTCGTCCCAGTCAACCGCGAACTTTCGAAAACTTTGGAGGGGGTTCTGTAGGCTGTCTAAAAATCACAATAGATAGCTGATCCCCATCAAACATCGATGATGGAAGTTACAATCTGACGACTTCCAGAAGGCTACAATTTGAAGACTTTCACGTAGATCGCTGAAGGTTACAATCTGACGACCTTCACGACAACCGATGAAAGCTCTAATCAACAACCTTCACAATTAACATCGAGAGTTACAATCTGACGACTCTTGCATATCAAAGAGCTAAAGTAAAGATTATAAAATGACGATCTTTGCAAAACTTCAATAGAAAGAGACTACAAATCGACGGTCTCTTCAAATCAAGACGTGAAAGTCTTCCCCGCGTACCAGCATCAAGATGTGCCGCGTTCATAGCCACGAACGTAGCTCAAATGCAGCTCCAAAAGTTGCAAACGCAGCTCCAAAAGCTGCAAACGCAGCTCAGATTCGGCCGCCAACGCAGCTTCCAAATCGCCGCCAGACGCAGCTCTAATCGCTGCCAGACGCAGCTCACTGTAAACGCAGCTCAGATCCGCTGCCAAACGCAGCTCTTAAATCGTACAAACGCAGCTTCCAAATTGCTGTAAACGCAGCTCAGATCCGCTGCCAAACGCAGCTCTTAAATCGCTGCAAATGAGCTTCCAAACGCTGCGTCCGAGTTTCCAGATGCTGCGTTCAAGCTTTTAGGCATTGCGTTTGGACACAGAATTCATGCCAGAATGCGGGCCTGCGTTTGACTCGTTCAAACACGAGCTGAACGGTTTCAAAACCGTTTCCCACGATCTAAGGGGATCACAACTCCACTCAGGAGTGATTTAAGGGACAGTTACATCCCATTAGCCCCACTTAGGAGCAAATTAAGGAGGTGGTTACACCCCTTAATCCCCTATAAATAACTGAAAATCAATTCAGTTCAGGGGCGGTCGGTTGGAACTTCTTGGCAGTAAAGGGAGAGATCGACATTCATCCTTTGGAGCATTCCTTGAAGCCTTCGGCCTTGGCTTGAGAACCGATTCTCGGTTCAAATCAACTCTTTTTCAAGAGTTCTAAACTCGATCAGAGTTATCAACTCATCAAGAGTTTTAAACTTGCCACGCAAGTTCTCCACAACGTCAAATCGTAAGGAGAAGACATCGTTCCAGTGAATCAAGATATTCGGATCGTCAACGGAGAGCAAATTCGACGCAAGCATTCGAAGGAGGCACTCCATCGCTACCGTGAAGAACCCAGTTTTAAACAAAGGAGAGAATCCAGATCATTCTCTTCTCTTTTGTAATCAGGAAATCCAATTGTAATCGATTTTGAGAGAATACAAGTCAATTTTCTTTCATTTCTTTTACTGCAAATTTTCCCACAAACACCATGAAATTTGAAAAATATATTGATAGATTAAAATTTAATATCATCGTCTAAATAAAATTAATTACATATAATTTTACTCATAAGTTGAAGTATCAAAAATATAGAGGTAGCATTCATTGATAGAAGACTAAATAACTTAAAATTGATAAAAGACTATAATATAATAGCTTAGCATTAATTGATTATATTTTATAAATATTATTCTCCGATGTTGGTAATATTCACAGGGTAGAAAACAATATTCTTTGATGTTAATAATATTCACAGGGTAAAAAAAGATATAATGAGTTATGTATGGAGAAACTATTAAAAAGTTTAGAGATGTTCTTCATAATGTTTTAGTTGTTTTTATTTTAAATAAAAAAGTGAAGGAAATTAATCCAAAATTCATAAACTTACATGAATCACTTGAATTGTTATTAATAAGAGACATATCTATCAAAGAAGTACCAACTTATTTTCTCATTGGAGAACATATTACAAAACTTTTTCCAATCAAAGAAGCATTTGTCATAGAAGATACACAAAATATTAATTAGTAAATCTAATAAAATTTCATATTTTATTCTACAAATACTAAAGGAGTCATAAACTTATTATATAATTAGATACAGATGACCTTGTAATAGCAACTAACGTGAAGCTATTGATCAACTATATTACGAGACATAACCTTACAAGAGGAGAAAAATCACTATAACTGACAAAAGGTATTCACATAGTACTTATTTAATAAGCTAGACAAAAGGTGGGAAATAACTATAGTGGATAAAATATATATACATGATACTTACTTATCATAGCTTAAGAAAAAAAATTAAAATTGATATTTATTTCTTTTTACTATACAGTGGCATGGCTCTACATGTAATTTTATTTGGGAATATGGCTATGAAAAAAGGATCAATTCTTTACGACATGATCAAAGATAAGCCCCATAATAGCATTATTGGATTTCATGATCTCTAAATATGAAGGTAATATATTTCATTACAATAATCTTTATTAAAGGCCAGTAAACATAAAGTTCACTTTATATCCATCTTAAATTTGTTGGGAGAGATATGCACGTTATCGCAAATTTGCATTATCCAAAAAAAAAAGATTCAACTAACTAAATAAATAAGAGAATGATAAGTAAACCAAGCAAATATCCATATAACACAACAAACAATAAATATTATATTTTAAAATTAATATGCAGGACTCATTTAGAACAAGCTATCAAGACAAAAGCATTTCCATCAAGGATCTTTACAAATGCAATAAAAGTTTAACTTCGCGATATTATGCATGCATCACAACATTTGAAAGAGGTATGATCTTAAAAAACTTACTCTATAATTTACACAATTAAATCTAATTGAAATTTACTAATATAAAGATCGCTATTACACCTTTAAGGCAAAGATAACTACCCGTTATCGTAGACTTGAGCTGTGGCTTTATGCTTGCAAAGGCCGCAACAAGAAGGTGAATATAAATGTTAATAATGAGTGTCCAAATGATAAATATTACAGAATCTCTGATAACTTAGAAAATTGCAAATGTAACATTGTTTAACGCAATAGAAACTTTTATTAGGTGCACGACACTAGAATTCATTGCAAAGAAAAAAAAATAGGTTAATCCTAACTTAAGTAATAAATTAGAAACACAGAAAATTTATTATATATATGAAAGTAACATTTGTTCTCATTAAAAAAACTTGTAAAGTTAGATGAGAAGATAAACGACGAATGAGCCCAGGGAAAGATAATAGCACAAGAAACTCAGGTCCAGCCTGATGTCACAGACGACGTAGATGATGAAGATGCTACTCAAGAATTACCCTAGAAAAATATAAATTAAAAGTGAAGAAGGCTTGATCTCGGCTCAATCAAGAATGAAACAAATAGAATAAAAGATAATGTTTTCTTAATATTTTATAAAATAGCCTAATTTTTTGAGTAAGATTAGGAATATTTGGAAAAGATTTTCATGAATTTTTAAATATTTTTATATACTTATTTTGTGGATGCTTTTATCATATAAAATTATACTAGAGTTAGCATTAATATTTAGTTTATGGTTTTTAGTGAAATATATTAATGATAAGGAATAAAATTCATATTCTCTTTTGTGTCATTTTAGCCACTTCTAATCAATTGTCTAGGCTTATTGGCTTTAATTATTCCTTTTGCTATTATAATGCTACTTTTCAAGACTTTTATAACACTATACTTTCTTCGATAAAGCTTTCTTTCATGTTGATCCAAATAACATGAATATTTAAATTGACTTTACGTTGTTTTCGTGTCAATTCAATTATCAATATGAAACTTAAACTTGTGTGTAACCCATTCAAACAAACATTAAAGAAGATAAGTAATCACAATATTAAATTTTAGAAACATAAGCGAACCAAAATTATCAAATTGAAATTGAAGAATAATTTTTAGTAAAAAAATAAACTAAAATAAATAATTATAATATTTAACTACGTATAATGGGCGTGCATTAAAAACTAGTACTAGTAAAACAATTTTTTTCCGAATATATATAAGCCAGCCCCAGAGGTTTACCATAGCTTTGCAAGGCAAGATAGGGCTGATACAGTACATGAGGCCGGGGCCGAAAGGGACGGCCCATTTTAGAGTGCTTTATAGCCCAGCTTCTATATTATTTTCAATATTACACTTTGACCCCAAATTTAGGCCAGATAAGCCCAAAAATTTCCATCCTGTTTAAAGCCCAACATGATCAAACCCAACACCAGTCCTCAAACAGCAAACAGTTACTCTCCTTCCCTCAATCAGAGTTCAGAGAAGCTGAGATCATCATCATCGATCCTCAGGGATCATCAAACCCCCCCAAGATCTCACGATCTCTGTAAAATTAATGGAGAAGAAAACCCATCTCCAATTGACTCTCTCGATCTCTTGCCTCTGCCTTCTTTGGATCTCTGGATTGGCCTCAGTTTCTTCCAAGTACTCATTGGGCATTGATCCTATAGGTAACTCACTCACTTAGCTACAAAATCCTCTTTCAGTTCTGTATAAAGTTTTGTTTATTGAATCTCTTGTTGTTCATTAGATGAGAGCTACTACCAATCCAATGTAATTAAATGTAAGGATGGGTCGAAGAAATTCACGAGAGAGGAACTCAATGATGATTTTTGTGATTGCCCAGATGGAACTGATGAGCCAGGTGCGATCTTTTTTGTGATTTATTTAATGGGTTTTGTTCAAAATTGGATTTTTTTTCTATGGGTTTTTAATTTTGTTGTTGATTTTTTCGTAGGGACATCTGCATGCCCGGAAGGGAAATTCTATTGCAAGAATGCAGGTCATATTCCTGTCACGATTTTCTCGTCGCGAGTGAATGACGGGATTTGCGGTGAGAATTTTGTTATTTTTGCATTATGATTTACTTTGATTGTCTTTGAATTGTGTTACGTAGTTCGTATTGTTTCGTAAAGTTTATTATTTTATACATCGAAACGATTTCATGTTACCTTTTCTTGAGTTTTATGTGCTGTATTGTAGCTTAAGAAGAAATAAAGTCTAACTTTCACTTAGAAAAACGACTAACATTGCTACTCTTTTAGCCCTATAGTTGCATTGTACTTGTGGCAGTTACTTTCTTCATTACTACCGAACTTCTGAAAAATCATCTCCTAGTATTTATTTCTATGGGCTTGGAACAATTATATCGGTCAAGTTCTGACTAATTAACACCGAAAAGTCTCAAAAATCTATCTATCCAACCAGGGATGAGTCTAAGACCTTTTTTTTTTTTTTTTGGGGGGGGGGGGGGGGGGGCAAAATTAAGTTAAATTTTTGTTATCAATTAAATCATCACTTACAATTTTGTTGATTGAAGATGGTCCTCCATAAATTTAACGATATAGAGATTCTGCTATAACTTAATTCAAATATCGCAACAAGTTTAAAAAAACCTCAATTCAAAGGCTTTCTCAAATACACCTTCATCCTTGTGCTTCACATTTAGAACAGCACAGTGCTTATCTATATTTCCCACAATCACAAATATAATTGTACTACATGCATAATAATCATTTACATGCTCATATATATTCCCTCAAATAACTAATGTAAGTTTAAATTATTACAAAATAGTATTTTTTTGTATATTAGTCCCTTAAACATGTTTAATATTTTGAATTAGTCTCTCAAATAATAGAAATTGCTAATAGGTCCCTCAACTATTTTAAGTAGTTAAAAATTAATCCATTAAATTATTAACATTACAATTAGGCCCCTCAATTCTGATAAGTTGCTTTAAGTTAATCCCCCCAACCAAGAGTAGCACCACAAGTTATAAAATTTGGGGGTCTAGTATCAATTTCAATAATTTGAGGGGTTATTTTCTAAATGTTAAACATTTAAGGGACTAATATCAAAAGGTCATACATAATATAAATAATTTGAGGTGGATCTCACATTTTGGTGGAGATGTGTGCTTGCGTTCAGCGTTTGGAGAAGCTAGATTAAATTTCCATTATACCCTAAATTGAATGAATAAACATCCAAGCTACTTCAATTTGTTCACTAGCCTATGTTCCTTTGGTATACATAAAATTAAGAATCCTTTTTTTTCTCTTTCTCTGGTGGGGTGGGGTTGGGGGGAGGTGATGGCCCCTCAAAACTCGTCAATGTACCCAACCAACAATTGTAGACATCACTGTGATGCTAATCGTTTGCCTCACCCCTGTCCCTTTTACACCCTGATCTCCATTTTTCTTTCGATCAAACCTCTCAAAATACACCTTCCAATGTCCCTATAGATATTAGAAAAGTTATTTTGAAAAAAATTTCAAACTGCATACGTTCCAAAAGAAACAGTTTTCTTGCCATCCAACAAATAGTAGACACCTCCTAGATAATAATCATGGTTCTATGCTTATCATGCAACTTGAGCTTCATCCTTATCAATGATATTGTTACCTTAGCAATAACGAGTTTTCTTTTTCTTTTTGTTGCTAATTCGTCCTTGATGAACTTATAAATCATAAGACATGCTCTGCGACATCATGCCTTTGAATGTTTCCTCAGAATATTGTTGAAAGTTCTTCGCTACCATAGTGAATTTCCCTCTTTATCCTTTTATTCACATCTGAAGCATTACTTAAAATTCTCAAATTACTATCCTCTCTTCTGTAATAGGTCAATCATATAGCTAAATGCTTAGTTAAACAAGAAACATGCTCCTTGAATGTAGTGTTTGTAAAGGAGACTATTATACGTATGCTTTACAAATCATATTCGGGCAGGATTCATCATGTATGAACTATTTCTTCTTTTTTACCTAATATGATCCTTGATATGAAAGCGTATGATGGACATTTTACCCAACTTGATTTTTTTATGAATTGGTGCTAACTTTTGGAGCAATATTACATTCAAAATTTTGAACTCTACTTTTTTTTTCCTTTTAAACAGACTGCTGTGACGGGAGTGACGAGTATCATGGATTAGTGAATTGTCCAAATACATGTTGGGAAGCTGGAAAAGAAGCTAGAGAAAAATTGAACAAGAGGATTAAAACATATCAAGAAGGAGTCATCATACGGAAGAAAGAAGTAGAAAAGGCAAAACAAGATATTGCTAGAGATAAAGATGACTTATCAAAGCTGAAGAGTGAGGAGAAGATACTCAAAGATCTTGTTGATAAACTTAAAGGTGCAACCTCATTCTTTCTTGTTCAACAACCTCAGTTAAGCTTGGAAAATGTATTTGTGTATTTTTTTTCTCCTTCTAATGCTCTTTATATCAATTATTGATGCTCGGTAGATAACTTAGTGTGATGAATTTTATTAGTTATGGGTGGGTTATTTATATTACCTTGATTAGAGTTGGATAAATATGCTTGGTTGAAAGTGATTGTCTTTTAAAATTTTGAATCCGGTAGATATCCTACCTGTATTCATAAAAGAACAAAAACTTTAAGTTAGAATTTTGTCTATAAATCCTTTCAATGCAGATTTTCATATTTACAAGAAACTTATGAAGTTATGATACATAAATCTGTCTGTCATGTGGTCTTTTTCCATATAGTTTCCTTTTTCATTAATTCTATTATATTTTTGCAAAGTACGCCTAAATTAAATCCTTAAATGTGTTTCAACCACAATGCTGGTAGGTCTGCATTAATTAGTTCTAATATATGAAAAAAGGAATAATGAAGGGCAATTAAAATATGTTTTGCTTTTGAATTTAAGTTTTAACATGAATCAAATGAAAACCCCGAAACTTCAAAATAAACACTGCTAATAGTGCTGAAGCCGAAATTCCAAACAATGATCTGCGAATGTTGATTAATATTGTCAATAAAGTTTTGTCACTAACCCCATAAGATTTGAACTTCAGAAGGAGTGGCTTTTCTCATACTTAAGCGTGTGTCAATGACTCAGTTTCACTTTCATGCCTCCTTTTGCTTGCTTGGAGGCACTTCTGCCTTAGCTCCTCTTTTTAATCCCTTGGTTCTGTGTCTTCTGTTGAAATAATAATGCCATTAGGTTAAGAGGGAGGAGGACACATCAGAGTATATACTGAATAAGCCAGGTCCAGGGCCATTATCGGCTCAAATATATGCTTATCTTTTCCAAAGAGAAGATGTGTATGACAGCAGTAGTCTAAAAATGATGGTAGAATCCTAGTTTAATTCTCGGAACAAGTTGAAGCACCTCAACTGAGCTTGATTAGGTACAAAGGGTGTTTGGGGGAGCTTTTTTTTTAAAGTGGCGCTTAAGCTAGCTTTTCTACATCTGCCTATTTGGTAACATACCAAATAAGCTAGCTTTAAAGCCCATTTAAAAAAAGTTGGGATTCCCCAATTTTTAAAAAACTAGCGTATATGCTTGTTTAAGAAGTACCACGCAAAGGACTTTTTTATCCTTTCAACTTTTTGTAATAGTTTTATCATAAAGCCAAAAGCTACCAAAAGCCAACACAGATTATAATCTTCTAGAAGTAAGCCCTGCCAAACACCCTCATAATGTCAGGTAGAGTTGCCTCTGTTTTTGCGGTGATGGTGGCTATGTGGGTGGATAAGGCCTGACCGCTCTTTCTTAACAGGGTTCTGAGGGATTTGGTTTTGGACCAATTAAACTCTTTCCACTAAAGAAATCTTAGGTTTTCATGACATTTGCTCATGAGCGTGCCATTGGCAAAGATGTACTAAAGGAGTGATAGGACTTTATTCATGATGGCAGAGGGCCATAGTGGAAGTGCTTAACCTTGTATGACCATTACCATCAGTACAGTAAATGCTCAAGAATCTTGCATTCAGGTTGAGCATTGGGTGCCTTTAATTGAAATCTATTTTTTTAAATTTTTGAAACAGGTTGAAGAAGGAAAGACAGCAAAATGAGTGGAATAGTTCGGATACCAAGCTCATCTAACACTTTGATTGCAAAACTACAAGGATAAGGGTGCTTTTTATGCTGGATAAATTTGAGTTTAAAGATGATTACTAGTTTTTTCTAATCTTAACAAATAAGAATACTAGACAAGGGAAGAAGAATATGTGAGCAGAGTGGCTAATAAGAAGACTAGACAAGGGAAGAAGAATATGTGAGCAGAGTGGCTAATAAGAAGACCTTATTCTTCAACACAATCACAATTTTTTTATCATCGTTCACTAGTTTCTCCAGTGCCAACTATGTAGCATGACTAACATGGTGCTTGGAGTACCATATAACTAACTCCTAGTAAGGACATTGATAAAAGGATGACTCTTGGAATATTGTTATTGAACTAATTGCCCTATAACCTATTCAGTATTAGTGCAAGTAACACTTTATAGAGACTGAAAGTTATTAGTAGAAAATTTCTATTCAGAATAAACACGCATCAGGAAATAAGGAATTTATTGGCCAACTTGAATGTAGGACGTTGTTTTATCTCCTGATACTCCAATACCATGTTTTTTTAACCACTTTATTGGAAAAGCCTAAATTGAGTCCAGATATCATTTATAACTAGAAATGCTAGCAATTATCATCAAATTTTTTACTTCAAATAATGTTAAGGCGTTTTTCAAGCTTTATTAGGAACAACTATCCAGGTATAAGCTTGAGAAATTAACGGATACTTCCCCCTATATTTTTTTAAATGAATGAGTCTTTTCTCGTCCTTTGAGTTGACCATAAAGAAGGGAACTTTTACGGGTAATGAAAGTCTTGCCAAATACACTACTTGTGTACTTTTTCATGAAGAGAAAATGTTATACTTTAGTCAAAGAAGAATATATATCATATGAAATATAACAACGGGTGCTTGTTTAATTTTTTTTTTAAAATCTTAAGTCTTGACCTTCCATGCAGAGCATAAAGAACGAATAGAGAAGGCAGAGGAGGAAGAACGTTTGAAGAAAGAGAAGGAAGAAGAAAGACTGAAAGAAGCTGAGAGGCAAGCAAAGGAGCAAGAGAAGTCTGATAAAGTTCAACATGACCTAGCAGATGGGGTTCATGAAGCATTACCGAAGCAGGTTTGGATGGTTATATTTTATCGCCCTGTCAATGTAACAGAAGTTTTGAAACAATGACATCTGCAACTGCATCCTAAGAAATTTAGAGTTTTGTAACCTTTCAAAGAATTTTAAATTTGTTTTTTGGGCAAAGAGGGGTTTCAAGAACTTTAGAAAATAGTAGGTACAATCTACAACATTGAACATCAATTTTATTCGCAATTTATATAGGAACTGTTTAGGGCAATTTTATGAATACTAGTATTACTAAGAGCTGGGCAGCAATAGTGTCCTGTTTGCTATATTATTTATAGAAACATCTACATGTTGTGCAATTTCAAAAACAATGCTCTAGCGCAGATATAGTTCTTGCTAGACTTGGAAAATGTTACGTGTCATACTTTGCCTTGAATACACTTCACTAGTTGTTTTTGTGTCATCTTTAGTGAAAGTATTTCTACAAAGTGTATAAGAGATAGACAACCAAATGCTGAGGAGAATTATAGAGGTTTTGCTGCGATTTTGCATAATGCCATGGATGGTGTGGTGAATGCAGTCATCATGACGGCCTGAATCAAAGGCTGGTGTCTGCATAGATCCTGACTTGATGATAGGTGATAGGTGACTCTCTCTTTCTTTTGATTATCAGACCCTAACTTAATATTTATTTACTGAGATAAATGCATGAGTTGTACTTTGAAACTACGGGCGAAGTAAGACATAATGATGCTAGATTGATTAATATAATTTTACATCAGGAGAAACCTTTTTCATTTGAGGGATGATGTCTCAATGATGTCTCATTACGATCCTTTCCTTACTGCAAACACCCATTGAAGTGTCACCCTAAAGTCTAATATGTAAAAGCATCTATACCTCCCTCAGATGAAGGTGACTCATAAAAGGTGTTGGTATTTTCATCTAATGCCTTCCTTGCTCTTGAAGATCCTTTGAGGATCAACAATTGAGATAAACGTCAACTTCTGATTACATCCTTAGGTCTAATCCAATCTTTTCCTGGATAATGGTTATTTTTGTCACAGCAGCCATTCTGCTGTCTCATGCGTCATATATAGATAGCATACAAGTTGATGGAGTTTGTACTTGTTTTGGACTTCAGGTATTGTCTACTTTTCTGTGGGCCATATGAGAATGTCTTCTACAGATATCATGCAATCCTTTAATGTGAAGAGTCATGATTGAAGTTTAGAGGTAAAAAGACCCGTAGAAGGCAGTAGCAGGTCTTGGATCAGGATAGATTCGGTTGGTACGGTTAGCAATGAAAATTTTCAAATCAATCCTGATTTCCTTGCAACAAAAAAAAAGTGAGGAAGTTTGGATACTAACTATATAAGTATATCAAATAGTAAATCAGAAAAATGTGACCTTCGTGTATCTTAAACTAAAAAGAATATAAAATTATGTTATTGTAGTATGAAAAAGTAAATTAAATGTAAAATATAATTTGTTGGTGGTGTTAATAGAGGTGTTAATAAACTATTGTTGGATTTTCTATTAGATAAATACGTGTGCTTATTAATGCCTGCAATATCAATCCAAAAATGCCAATGCTGTGAGAGAACACCAGGAAGATATACAGAAAGAGATGAGAGTGTCAAATCCTGTTCCTCATCTTCTGTTCTCTCTTTTTGTTTCATTTTGTCTTCATTCCTTGCTGTTTTTCTTGTTTAGTTATATTTAATCTTTGAGACAGATATCATGTTTGGATATATCACTGTTAAGGTAAATTGAGGCTAGTTGATAAAGTATTCAACAATCTATTTCAGTTAGAGGTATCCCATATTATTTTATCAACAAATCATGTTTGATCATCATAACGGAACAATTTGACTGCAAACATCTTAAGTAATTTAAAAATAAATGACCAATGCTTTATCCACTTCATTTGATATCTTGGATTCTCATAATAGGATGTGCCAAAAGAGGATCATGATCCTCAAGGTGAAGCTACTAGAGATCATAGCGTTGAAACTGAGTTGTCTGCCAATCATTTTGTGGAACAGGTATCAAATATTTTCAGTGGTCTAACACTTCTTTTCCCCTGTTCTTTTGTATAATTCTTTGGTTATGTTTTATTGAAGCATGTGGAAAAGGGTCATGAGGCGCAACACAAATCAGAAATTACTGAACATTCTACAAGTGACGGGGAATCTCCTAGTGATACAGCAAATCAGGTACTAGAATCTTGTTAAGAACCATCTACATTTTGTTATTAGTTTCATCATTACATTTTATAAATTGTTAGAAAATCATCCATCTTTTACATCAGAATTTAGCTGAAGACCAAGGCAACCTCATTGAGGATCGTGGCAATAATGGTGGCACTGGAAATGTTGAGGCAGATTCAACTTCTGTCAAAGAACAGGTACTAGGAATAATTGTATGACTGATTAATAATTTTATCCACCCTCTTGCTTAATTTAGGTGATGATGAAGTGAACAGATTTTAGGAAAGCAGTGCTGATTTAACTTGCAATTTATCGGACATATCAGTCCCTTGATCTATAGAAAGCTACAACAAGTAGGAAGAAAATGACAAATAAATAGATAACTATAAGATTGCTGACCATAATTAGTCATGAGCTTCAAAAATCATTTATGCATGCAAGCTTTTGAAATGTTAAGGGGTATCAATTGATACTCTTGGATACCTGGCCCTTCGCTACTCTTTAGTTTGTATACATTTGGTGACGATGATACTTATGCTTGTGGTGCATAGTTCAAGAAGGGTCAATTTAAATTAATTATATGTATAAAGGAATTGGTTTTCACTTCAATATGTTAGTTTCTACCTTATATGCTTTTCCTTTATTGCATCTGTTCGCAACCGCATACTTGAAACTTTACTTAACGCATGCATTTTTCTAGGAGCATGGAGGTTCTGATGATACTTCAGGGTTATCAAAAGAAGAGCTGGGTCGTCTTGTGGCTTCTCGTTGGACCGGGGAAAATGCTGGTGGTAAGTCAGAGGAAGCAGGTAGTAGTACTGTGGATGACTTAAACCAAGATTCTACCAAAGATGATGGGGAGGATGACGATAACGCATATACTTCAGAAACAGATGAAGATAGGCACAAGTATGACGAGGACACTTATGAAGATGAACTAGATGAGACATATGAAGATGATCATGTAGATGATCATGTAGAGTCTGAGGAATCATACTCTGATGATGAAATCCGTGAAGAAGATGACAACAATGACTTATATAATAGCCATTACTCAGGTAGTTATTCTAGCCTTTTCATAAAATCAGTTATTGATATTCCATGTACTATTTAATTTGATTATCTTCCTCGTTCGACCCTTTCCCATCAAATGGGGTCATATGCAACTCAAAATTCTGACGATCCATGTTGTGTTATGCATTAATTTTTGAGACACGGATATAAGACGAAGAACCAAATGGAAACATGCCCCTACTTTTGCCCGTTCAATTTGCTGTTTACCTTGAAAATTCACGCAAGTTGGATTCAAGCGATTATTGAATTTGGTGTTTTTATCAACGGTTCAATTTCCCTTATACAGATTCGACTGACTCAACTAGCTCATCATGGTTGGATAAGATTAAACACACCGTCAACAATGTTCTATCATCTTTCAATTTTTTCAGGACTCCTGTGGATCTATCAGGTAATAGTCTGTAATTACTAAACCCTGTCATAGTTGAAGCTAGCATTGAAATATTCTATCTTTTTCTTCTTCAGAGGCTGATCGTGTTAGGAAGGAATATGCCGACTCTAAGTCAAAGCTGTCCAAAGTACAATCAAGAATATCCAGTCTTACTGATAAGCTAAAGCATGATTATGGTGAGTACAAATGTTTATCTGTAGCCATGAATATTTGTGCTTTGTAAGAATTTTCTTCAGAGCTATTAGCATATTTTATCATACTGTAGTTAGTCGGTTATTAATTGGCAATTAAAAAGAAAAACTGTTTAATGTCCCTCTTCTGGGTTAGGTTCTGTGTTCCTTTCATATATATGTTTCAGGAGATAGTCTAGCTTAAGAATGCATTCTGTATCAGTATTTAGGGGATTGCTTGTGGTTGTAGATATAGTAGTAGTACTAAGATATAGTAGTAGTACTAACTTACCTAAAACCCTTTTTCTATATGGGCCAAGGATACTCTGAATGGTCAATTTCATAGATGAAGAATAGTACAACGTGAAACGATACTTGAAATATATTAGTTTTTCTTGTACTTGTTGTATCTTGTCCTCGTTTTCAATATCACATGTCACCAAGCTTATATTATTATCATATATATCACTGCACTGCTCCATGCTAATTTGTTCATTACATGATTTCCATGACAATCTTCTTATAGATCATCATATATGATAGTTTCCACACCTGAAGTGAACAAAAGGAACTTCCTTTTAATATTTAATAATCCAGTAGGAATTCTGGATCCCTCACAATATGACCCCAACAAGATTAAAAAAAAGAAGAAGGGGAAAGGTGAAGAAAGTTGATATGACAATGGTATGATCTGAAATATTATGGCTAAAGTTGTTCCCACACTTCCCGTGACTTCAGTTGACGAAATTACCTACATAACTCTGGCATGTTGATGTATAGAAGACTGTCGATGAAAACCCAATACGCTGTTGCTAATGCTTACCTATTGGCAAAGAAACATCCTGCCCACTGTAACTGTATGCTGTAAGTGAACCGGCCAGCAGACTCAACATTGGTACTAACTACTAACTACTTAGAATGCTTGCATTGTTTAACATATTACTAATAAGACTAAATAGTCAGAGATACTTTATTCGACATGTGATCTATTAATATGGAAATAAGTTTTACTGTGTGTTGTGTTATATATCTTTGTGATTACTGCATTCAGTGTGTTTGATTGGCTTAAATTATTTTTGAATACTGTTTGGTACCAGGCATGGAGAAGGAATTTTATTCATTCCATGGTCGTTGTTTTGAGAACAAGCAGGGCAAGTGTGTGCAAACATCATCTTTATTCACTTAAAATTCTTGTCAGTTTGCTTCTTCTTTATGCACTGAATTCTTCCTCAATTCTTTTTTTCCAGGTATCTTTACAAAGTCTGTCCATTTAAACAGGCTTCTCAAGTTGAAGGACATAGTACTACTCGATTAGGGTAGGTTCTCTTGCAATTGGTTAGTTCTCTTGCAATTCTTTTATCAATTATTTGATCTATCTTATAGTTATAGCAGTGTAAAATTACATACTCTCTTTCTTTCTGCTCAACAATTTCCGTGCTAAAATCTATGTTAAACCATGGTTTTATTTTATGATTTAAAAAAAAGATAAGTACAACAAAATAGGAAAAATCTATTACCAACTGCTTTTAGGGAGGCGAGTAAATGGTGTAGAAATGAAGCTAGGATTTCTCTTTCTTCGTTGAAATTCAACCCGTTTGAGAAAAGGGTTGTTACCTACAATATAATATAGGTTTAACTGGTTAAAAAACCCTCGTGCTATGAGGGTATAATAGCCAATTATACACCCTAAACTATTTTATTAGCACTTGCATTCCTGTGCTCTATGCAATATTATTTCTCCCATTGGGTTGAGATGTCACGTGAGAATCACATAATGGTAAATTTGCCTTCAGGTTAACGGAAAAAAGATTAAACTGGCCTCTACATTGAGAAAAAGTATAACATCGTCTAAGTTTTACGGGTTGTGAGTGTGAATAAAATAGCTTAAGGGATATAATTTGATGTATCTCCATATTACAGCGAGTATATTATCTGCAATTAACCTCTTAAATATAGATATGTTATTACATAAATAAATAGTGAAAATCAAAGATAAAGTTCAAGAATAAAAAAGGATTGACAGTCATGAAAAGGTGAAGAAAAACTTCATGTATGAACTAATTCTGTGTAAAAGAAATTCAGTCCTGAATACAAGCAGCTGTCTGTGGCTTGTACTATATTGCTAATAATTATTTTTATTTCTGCAACCAGGAACTGGGAAAAATTTGATGAATCTTACAGAATTATGCAATTCACCAGTGGAGATAAATGCTGGAATGGCCCCGATAGGAGTTTAAAGGTAACATTGCACAGTATTATTTCAGCTAAATTCCCCCGCCCCTAAAATGCGTCTCACTGTTAACTTTTATGTTACAGGTTAGACTTCGATGCGGATTAAAAAATGAACTAACTGATGTTGATGAACCAAGCCGATGCGAGTAAGACTACTCCCTTATCTCTCAAGCCAAGCCATTATTGTACATGTTGTATCTGATATGTACAAATACGTTGTGTGTTTCAGATATGTAGCGTTGCTGTCAACTCCTGCCCTTTGTGTAGAAGATAAGTTAAAGGTACGTATTTTCCTTCCTAAGTTTTAGTATGCTGTTTTTCGCCTAGGATCAGAACCGTAGAGTTTTGTGGATTACGTATTGCAGGAACTGCAGCAGAAACTAGAGCAAATGAATTCAAGGCAACCTGAGAGCCACGACGAACTTTAAATTCTTCTGCTCAAATTATCATATGGCTGAGAGAAAGAATGCCCAAATTCAACTAAGAAATTATATTTATCATCTATATTATCAAAGAGATATCAATTGGCATTTGGTGATTGGAGTTTTGAGCGATCTCCCAGTTCCCGATATTTAATAGGTTGTAAACTCTAATGTTATTTCTTTTCCCCCTTTTTTTGCCACTGTAGAATACAGAATGTTGATTGAGAATAGGGAAGAACTAGGAGCATATGGACAGTGTAATAATTAATTTAGCAAAAATGATCAGTCTTTTTAACTCATTATTTCGTGTTTTTCAGCTTGTATCCCTTTTGATATTTTCTGGGGGTTATTTATCTTTAGGGCTAATTGCAGATAGACCTTATGTAGTATTGCCCAATTGCGGATGAACCCCTTGTACTCCTATTAGTGCGGATAGGCCCCCTATAACATTTGTTTAAAGTATGGATACGCCCTCTTGATGAATTTTTATGACTTTTTAAGAGTAAGAAAATAAGTAATTGGGCATCTATCCACACTAGCAGTAACTGTACAGGCTTATCCATTATAAAAAAAAATTTCTGCATGTTTATGATTGAAAAAACTCAGAAGGGCTATCCGCATAATTAGTACTGCAGAGGGTCTATCTGCAATTAGACGATACTCTAGGTGCTCTATCTGCAATTAACTCTTATCCTTATAGTTTTGGCTGGAAAATTTTGTTATTGTTAATTCACAGTTGCTGCATATCCAAATGTGTTTCCAAAATTAGAAATGTATTTTTTTAAGTGGATCGGGTTTGAAAATTTTGAAGTTTCGATCCGGGTCATAACTTTTGCACTTTGGAAGAACTTTATAAAATTGTTGTAGTACATGCGAGCTCTATTAGAAAGTAAAAAATATACTCAGAATAATCCATATAAGGAGCTCTACATAACAAAAAAGAAGAAAAAGAAAATATTCTAAAGTTGTTGTTTTCTAAGTGAAGGGGTGATTATTCCTCAGAATGATTCTTCTGCTCAAATTATCAGATGACTTAGATCTAACGCAAGTTTCTCTGCTCCACCAATTGTGCTTTCCAAAAAAAGTACTATGATATCTTTTAAGAATTCTAACTCGTGAACATGCAGACTCATCAGGAGAAAGACCCGGGGGGGGGGGGGGGGAGAAAAAGAGTAGTATCTTGCCAAGTAGGGTGCAATTCGGTCGCGATACGGCTCGATAACGTTTATCATATCCATATATACTTACCCATCTCGAATACGGATACAAATATACCTCAGCAAGAAAATTTCATATTCATATCTGCTAAAAACGGATACTGTTATGGATATACATGCAGATATATAAGCGGATATGCATGTGGATACAAAACACATATGAGAAAACTAGATAGTATTGAGAAAAACATAGTTCATGTGATACAAAAGAGTTTATTAATATGTTCATTATAACTAAAAAGTTAACATTAGACATCTTGATCATCAAAATTAATCACAATTCCATAATCTAAGAATCGAAACTATCGTCAGAGTATGACTAATATGTATTCGAACATTTCGGATAGGGATACAGATATTTTCACTACAAAACCATGTCTGTAACTATATCTTATCGGTCATAGATTTGAGTAACCATATCCGTATCCTAATGGATACGATTACGAATATTTCCTCAGATACGATTACAGTTTAGCACCCCTACTTGTTGGTATAAGGTTGTATTTGATAACCTAGCTCAAATTGCATTAGGACCAATCTTGATTTAGTTCTATCCTAAACCAGCTCTAGTTTGGATTAGTAGAGGAGTGATCCAAACTATAACTTGTTTAGAGGCTAAAATTTAGCCTACTACAACTAAGTCAATTCTAATTCAATATTTTGTTAAAGAAAATAAAATACTCAAAACTAAGCAACAGTATTTAAAGAGTTGACAAACACACCTTAACTTAAAACTTTAAAATAATACTCAAGTTTATTTTGGCAATATTTCTTGGTTAATTTTGAAAAAAAATTATAACTTTCAACAAAAGTATATCATTGACAGTTGTCAATATTGTCAATTTGTCATCCAATATTATTATTATTTGTTATGTCTATTTATACTAATATAGAAAGAATCAATTAGGGGTAGGAACAAAATGGATGAGTGGTGGACAAACCATCATTTTCAATTGTTTTAAAAAGGGTAAGATTGAAAGTTTATAAGGAAGGATTTTCCCCCTCTTTTCTATTTTATTTCTTCTACAAGATTCTATGTAATTTTACTAGGAATGATTTGTTTTTTCCCTATTCCATTTTTTCTAGAACATTCTACGCCATTCAAATACTATGAAAAAAGATGGAGCCTACATAATTGAATATCTTTTCAATATTTTATGTTATAAAAAATACAAAGAGAATAAATAGCTATAAATAAAACGACAAGGTTTTGAGCATATACCTACGCTACTATTTATTTACACTAACATACAAAAATAATGAGGACAAAATAATTAGATGAGGATTTTAAGTCTAAATAAAGAAGGTAAGATCTCCTTAAAAGTCAAGTGTCCCTCGCCATCTCTTCCTACTATTAAACGTACAATCTAAAGAAAATTATTATTATTTCATAATCTTTCTAAATACAAAGAATAATAAGTTTTCATATCACAAGCATTTACACGTGTCCATTTCCACTTCTCTTGTAATGGAGCAGGTCTTCGTTGAAATATTCAACTATATAAATTCATACAGCAGAAAATATGCGACGAAAACCTAGTTGAAAGTCAACTTACGTACATCAAGTCAACTCAAATGATCATGGCAACATCAGTCAAATTAAACAGCTATTAGATTATTGTGAGGCATGGTCTTTTTGATAAGAGCTTTGCTACAGGGACCCAAAATATGGGACCAATAAAAGGGACAAGTGAGGTGTCCCCCTCCTATTGGATAATGAGTTGGTCATCATTAATGATGGCCAACTCATTATCCAATAGGAGGGGGACACCTCACTTGTCCTTCCTATTGGTGCCATATTTTGGGTCCTTAAAGAATTTTTCTTTTGATAAAGGAGGGGGTTAAGATTTGAAAGGTTGCATGCTTAGAATGAAACTTCGATTTTGCCGGAAGAAATTAAACGGCCTTTGGGACCATCAAACCGTTGAAAATTTATGATGCAATTTAACTACAGTGGAAATATTTTAATTATGTGGAGACATATTCATCATAAAAAAACACATTATGTGGTAATTAGATTAGGAAAGGAAAATGAATAGATATTGTAACTAAAAGTTGACAAAAGATATAAAAAGAGTACTTACTAGGAATTGAGGACATTTTAAATAATGTGGACTGATCTTCTGTTGTCGTTAGCGAAATATTTTTCTTCTTAAATTTACGAATAGACTACTCGGGACTAAAATAGTCAAAAAAAAATTTACTCTACCTCATACTAGCTCGATACAACTTTATACATGCTATAAGTTTTTCTTATGTTTAAGTCTAGTGTATCATGAATCTTGTTATTGATTTTCTTTTTTCTCCTAATCTTGTTATTTATTTGGAATCTAGGATTCTACACGTTCTATCATGCATGACACCAATTATTATATAAAATCCAAATGTTTGAACCTTTTAATAGAAACAAATATCCGTTTTGGGAGGTTTCGATAAATTTCTTCATAATATTTACTGCGGTCTCCTAGAGTCCCGCACACAAGGTACAGAATTATCTTAAGTACCATCACGTGAGCCTCTTTTTACTGAGGGCATCTTCAACAATGCCTTATTTTTCGCACCATTTTGGTAAAAAGGAATAGTGGGACGTCAAATATAGTGTCGTACTGTTCATCATGCTATTACTGTTTATCATGTCATTTTTTTACCATATTTTATTTTCTGTTGTGTTCTTAAATTTAATATTTTAACAATATCAATAATAAAAATAATAAAATAATATTTTATAATTTTACCCCAATAATCGTAATTAATAAAATAATATTTATTATAATATTTTATAATATTTTACCAATCAAGTTATTTTAATTAATAAAATAATATTTTATTGTTTTATTAGTTTAATTTTTTAAATAATAAATCATTATGTTTGAAAAATATGTGAAAAATAAAATTTGATATGTGGGGTTAATTATTGAAATAGTTAAAAATATATGGAATAAAAAATAATAATGTAAAAGTAGATAAAAAAAGAATATACTGAGAATATCATTTTTTGATGCAAAAAATGGTGTAGTAGATTAGAGATGAATTACTGTTTGATGTGACTTTTGCACCATTTTGGTGTAAAATTTATACCATTTTGATGCGATGGGTTGGAGATGACTTAAGAGGCTGCCTTTGATAGCCATTTACATTAAAATTTTCGCATAATAGTAGAATAATATCACGTGCTTTGAGACTCTTTTTACAGTGTTTAAATTGAGCATCTTAATATTTTTTATGACACTTTGATATGATAAACTTTATACCTTTTAACTTTCATACCCTAAAATTTCGTTGACACTTTAATAAGTAATAACCCAAAGTTTTGATTTCAAACTTGAAAAATGAATAAACTTTGTGATAACAAATTTTAAAATACGGAAACATTAGGATATGAAAAGCTTATGTGTAAAACGTAGGTTATCAAAATTTCAAAAAAAAAAAATTTGGCTGTCAAAATTAAAAAAGTTATCAACATTAGGGTATATAATTGTAAATAATCCTTAATAAACAATTGAGACACCAAAATTGCAATATCTCTTAGGATTTGAGGGGCTTATGAGCAATTTCAAAGATATGAAGGACTAATATAGAATTACAAAAGATTTGAGGGTACAAATATCTAAATGACCCTTTTAGAATATTACTTTTCCCCTACGATTGCAACGGATACATGAAACCAAGGGCTGGACAACTTCATGTTAGAGGCTGTTTGGTTGTTTTGCCTAAAATTAGGTATTTATGAAACTATATGGAAAGTGGTTGTTCACCTCATCATTTTATATTTAAACTTTTAGATTATTTGTTTTGAATTCCATTAAGAATCTTTAAAAAATAAAAATACATTGTTTGATTACATAAGAGATTGTAAGAAAATGGTTATTATATGGACACAACTATAAGGATAATTTTACCATGTGTGAGTTCACCCCCATCAAAAAATAGTTAGGTTATTTTTGCATTTATTACCCTAAAATTTACATCTTCTTTAACATTGATATCCCAAAGTCTTTATTTAAAAAGTTAATACCTCAAAAGTCATCTTTTTTGACTTTGATACTCCAAAGTTTTTTTCCAACATTTCCATATCCTTAAATTTA